TTGCATGTGCATGTGCATTAAATAACTTGCATTTATAATTATATATTGGATTACTATTGCGCTTTTTATAAAGAAATGGGCAGGTGATTAACAACATGAGCAGTGACGAAGAAATTGAGAGTTTGTTCCTTATTATATATGCTACAAGAAGGAAATAAAAACATAGAAGAAGATGGCGTGTTCATGCCATTAACATGGATTGGTTTCAGCACGGATACCAACGTAAAACGTTTCTTAAAATAAAGGATATGGATGAAAAGGAATTATTTAACCACACAAGAATGACCCGGCAGTTGTACGATATTTTTTCTCGTTGATGGCTCCGTCACTGCGTAAATTTAAGGAACAAATTCATGCCGAAGAGCGCTTATCGCTCACACTTCTGACAGTTTTTGTGATTTACACAACTGAGATATGTGATAATAATAAAAATTATTGTTAGGTACCTAGCATACGTCATTCCTTTCAAGAAATTAGCTTGGAGCTACAAAATTGGAAAGACGACCGTTAGAAATATTGTGTTGGAGACATGTGAAGCTATCTGGACAATGCTTTCTCCAATATATTTGAGCGAACCCACGCAGGAGCAATATAAACACATCACCACCGATTTCGCCCAGATAAGGAACATGCACAACTGTGTAGGTGCTATCGACGGAAAGCACATTGCGATTAAATGTCCCCCAAATTCTGGATCCATGTATTTTAATTATATTGTTAGCAGCATGCGATGCTAAATACACATTTACAGCTCCTAGCGTAGGGGCTCATGGAAGCCAAAGTGATGGGGGCATTTTTCATGCAACAAGATTTGGTGAAGATATTTTGGAAAATCGATTGCCATTACCACCTGATATTCCTCTTCCGTCATCATCACAACCCTTTCCGCATTATTTCGTTGGAGACTGTACCTTTCTTTTAAAAACACAATCTCATGAAGCCATATCCAGGCGTGAACACAACAAGACCACAACGAATTTTCAATTACAGGCTGTCGCGGGCACGCCGCGTTATAGAAAATGCTTTCGGTATTTGGACTGCGAGGTGGAGAGTGCTAAGAACAACAATGGATTTCCACCCAGAAAATGCTGAAAAAATCATTCTGGCGTGTTTAGTACTTCATAACTTCATAATGCTGCACGATACGAATCGATGGTATTGTACTGACGGAGAAGGGAGCAGTGCACAATGGAGGAACGATTTGGTACCTTGTGGAGGGCCATTGCGGTCCGTACAAACATTCAGATGTAGGGGTCGAAATAGTGCATATGCCAACAGGGAATATCTCACCAACTATTTTATGACCGATGGCGCAGTAACATTTCAAAACCATGTGGAGTAAAACACTTTAATTAACCATAATATTGCAAATATACAATGTACATTAACAACAACAACAACAATATTTCTATAAAATTAATATTAGCCTTATTCACTCTTTGTGTATTCAGTGTAAGTGTATTTGTCAATTCATAGGATTTGTTTCCAAAAAAACACTAAGTTCACCTGTGAGAGCAAATCCCATGAATTTTCAAATACACATACAATCCGAGCTGTCATGAAAC